AACAGGTTTTGTTTGGATGTTACATGGATTTTGTTTAGTTTTATGTAAACAAGTAATATAAACAGGTTTGTTGTGCCCTTTTATGTTCTTACAGTATCAGCATTAAACAAATCAGCTAGAAAATAAGAACACCAAAACAGCTTTTGTCATTCCAAATACCAACATATTACATTAACAAATGCTATTACACAACATACAAAAGTAGCTTAACATAAACATGATCCTACCATCTTAACCATCCTACCATTCAAAATGCAAACACCAACATCATCACTATGCCAACAATCAAAGTCACTGAAGCATTCAAAATGCTATTAAAGATCCTAACAACATCTAAAAATAACACATCACATTCACTGAAGCATCTTCACTTGATTCATTCCATTTGGGTTCTTAGCACCTTTGAAATTGGATAAAATAACCAACACCAGCAAAAGAACCAAAATGAAGACTATCTTCTTCAACTTTTTGTTCAACTCCACCAACTTTTCATTTTTCTGTTTCAGCTTCTCAATCTCAGTTTGCCTTTCATTCATCTTTAGAGGCTCGGAATTATCATTTTAGACCTACGACACATTGGAGGATCGAACCAGTCAAAGTAATCACACCCTCCATGCTGTAAGAGTCAAATTTAGAAAACAATAAACCAGAAAATCCAAGAACATGAACCAGCAATTCTAATTAACACCTCACCTCATAATTCAAGCATGACTCGAATCGCCGCCCAGGGTTGGTGTCCTTCCATGATGTCCGAATCACCGTCCTCCGACCACAATGGCATGTCCCATCTCCGGTGACGAAAGACATATTTCAATTAGGGTTGAGATTTGAAAAAATTTTAGAAATTGTGGGAACGAATCTGAGTACGCCCGTTTCTACGTTGATCTTTTGCTCAGTTGTATTTCGATCGACACAACTTTCGTGGGGAATTTGGGGATTAGGGTTCTAATGTTGGAGGGATTTGGGAATTGGGGAAGAACGATTTGGGGCAATTTTTTTTTGCCCGATTTTTCCCAATTTTCGGCTTTTATATTTTGCTGAATCGGTCCACGTGGGAATTCTAATTTCTAGCAGGGCAAAAAAAAAAAAAACAGCGTGTTAATAAAATGCCACGTGAGGGACGCGTGGATTTCCGGCCCGGAAAATTGTAAAATATCCCACTTTTGATTATTTTTTAAAAGTTGTGGGACCATTGGTATTTTCGCCATTCCGTTGGGACCAAAAGTGTCACCCCCCCAAACCTGTGGGACTACTTTTGAATTTTTCCCGAAATTTTATGACACCACATGTGGCACCATATTATGACGCCACAACATGATGTGGACATTATGATTAGTGTCACAACTATCACACATCATGTTGTGGCACCAATCATAATATGTCACATCATGTTGTGGCACCATAATATGGTGCCACATGTGATGCCATAGAATTTCTAGCCCATTCCCATGTATTATGCATTAAAAAAAATATATATTAAATAAAATTAAAATTAAAAGTAACAATGAGCCGTAAATAAAATAAAGTATTGTATAAATCATGATAAAATTCGTTTCGACCAAAAAAAAAATCATGATAAAATTATATTTTATACTACCTATTTTATGATATAAATTTAGAATATATAGATAACTAAAAGAGTAAACCTCTGTTTATTATCCATAATTTTATTATAAGAATAATAAAATCATAAAATTAAATAAAAATATATAAAAAATAGTATCTATAAATAATTAAAAAACATATTTTTCTCTAACCATATATATTCTTTATTTACTTATAAACTGAAATACATACAAATACTATAATCAATAACTTTATAAAATTATATAAGCTTACATAAGATTTATATGATTATATTCATATTAATTTAATATATGTTATAAAATTTGTACCCAAAAAAATATATATTATAAAATATATGCATAAATTAAATAAGATGAGAATAAAAATATATATTTATATAATGTAAATACAGGATGATTTTTTAAAAATATAAAAAAGTAACACTAAAAGAGATAATCACATTATTATAAATGAAATAAATTTGTGTAATATATATAATGAAAAGAAGGTGATAATATTGTTTCATTCAACCTAATATATATAATGAAAAGAAGGTGATAATATTGTTTCATTCAAACTAATGATACAACTTATTTCATTCAATTTCGATATTCATTTCATTCTGTAACTCATTCATTTCCTATCAAATTTCATCATCATAAGTGATTTTACATAAAGAAGCATGTTATTTCATTTGGGTTCAAAGTTAAAATTTGGGCCGGACACAATGGATATCCAGTAAGCCCGATTCTTTGGCAACGGCCCATAGTTGACCTGGCCATGTGTGTAAATCTATCCCGTCTACAGCTTGATACTGCTTTTATTCGATCGAAATTAAACTGGCCACCTATGACAACTACCTTCTCAACTCTGTTCCCAGTTGCAATATTCTCAGCAGCTCTTTTATTGAGCTGAAGGTGTTTGATAAAATGTCCAAATGAGATATTGCATAACACATTTTTTTTTCAGTTAATCATATCTGTATTGGTTATCTCCTTTGCTTCTCTCTTTAAAATCCTCCATGGATCTTCCTCCATTAATCTTACCTGTATCGGTTATTGTTGGAATATCACTTGTGAGTTGTCCCACATTAATTCTATAGGGTAAATGAGCCTAGTGGGCTACTCCTCCTATCACCGATTGGTTTTGGGATGGAACATCACTAAGTTACATCTAGGCTCATCCTCTTACGATGCCCTTCATCTGGTGGGACCGCACTCTCTTTCCCCGGTTCTAATAGTTATTTGGTCATTGCATATATTTTAAGGTCATTACATGTTTAGGAGTATGTCTCTGCCCTCTCTCTTTTGAATGGGATTTTTATATAAGTATATTGTTGGAAAATGTGATTAAATTTTACTTGTGAACTGGAGTTATATAGATAAACAATGAAGTCTAGTGAAAATGATTCTTGCAGTAGCTCAGGAAATTATAAACTCTTATCATATGTGAATCTTTCGCCGAGAAAGTCTTCTCTTTGTTTCTTTTACTCATCTTTCGTCATTTGCCTGGAACAATAATCGTATCAAGGTCGGAAACATTTATGTTTTATTTTGTGCCTGCAGGTTCTTTGTTCCTGCTATTTATTACCCAACTCAAATGGGGCCATAATCTGCCCATTTTGTGCATATCAACAGGTAATGCTGTTCATGCCACATGCTATTTGTTCTCCATGTAGAAAAAATGAATTATATTCTAAGTACATGCCTCTCAAATTTCTTAATATTTGGGAGGTAGACACGTTTTTTGTATGTTTATGTTCCCATGAATAAGCACAAGGAAATATGAACTGCAAGTTTTGAATCACTTCGTGTGTGGTGCTTTCATTGAGAGAAGTTTTATTAATTTTCTTGATGATGGTCATCTTTAGAGCTAGGGGTTTCGTTGCGTTCGTGTTTTGTAACTTGTTAGCTCAACTTACTTTGAAATGTCCAAGTATCCTCATTTTTGAAATTGAAGAGTCGGGCTTTGGCGCAAAATGTACCATTAGGGTTACGTCGATTCATACTATATATGTATGACCATCATATTTTCTTGATGAATTTTCTTGATACTGGCCATTGCTTAGTTATTAAATGTACTTTTGCTTGAACCAATTAAAGCATGACCCAAGATGAATTTTGCCTTCTGTGTTTTCTAGGTGTTTGAATATCACTTGTGAGTTGTCTCACATTGATTTTTCAGGGAAAATGAGTCTAGTATATAAGTCTAGCGGGCTACTCCTCCCATCACCAATTGGTTTTGGGATGGCTCACCCTCTCATAGTGCGCTTCATCAGGTGGGACCGCACTCTCTTCCCCGGTTTTAATACTAGGTTTAAACTCAATGAAATAATCATATAGATATCTCTTATTCATATCAATTGAATTTGCAAATGTATACTAGGAAAATGTGTACTCTGCTTGGTGGTGCTTGCACCTATAGCAACAGTGACAACATAAGATAATTGGAACTTGGAAGGTGGCCAAATTCCATCAACATCATTGCATTAATTAATATACTTATTTTTTCTTATATTTATGAGTTAGTTGGGTAAGTAGTTGATTGATCTTATTATATTGAGTTTATGATTCATTTATTCTCTCTTCTATATCTCTTCAATTCCAAATGATGAAGTATATAGGACAAAATATAATTCAAGAAAATGCTACGGGCCTGTTACGGAACCAATCCGTCGGGGTTTGTAACCGTTAGATCTTTTTGTAACCGTCGTGGATAGTTAATCTAACAATTACGAACCCTGATTGGATGATTCCGTAACGGGAACACGTAGCATCTCCCTATAATTTATCTCAAAACATTAGTAAAAAAATAATATAGCTCATTATAGTATTATTACTACCTCGTTAATTTTGAACATTAATTAGCACAACAGTTCACTACAAGTAAGCAAAACATTGTAATACTTTGATTCATTTAAATTGGAATAGACATATGGTATATATGCAAGAAGCACTAACAAATGATAGAGACTTGAGAAGAAGCGTGTACAAACGCCTTAAACATTTAAATAAATAAATAAAAGACTAACCATGTCACCGTCCATGAACATTCGGTTTATTTTTACAAATCTTGAATAGATACGGCAAAATTTCATTTTTGTCCATTATATTGGTCATTTTCCAAAAAATTGTCCACTAATTTGGCGGACATCAAAATTGCTACAATAAGTTGTAAAATTCATCATTTTTTGTCCATAAGTCTACGTGGCGTTTTATCGGGCAAATACGTGGACAAGTTTGATGTCTGCTATGTAGGCTCGTTATCCAGCCGGAGTGATTAATTGACAAAAAATGATGAATTTTACAACTTATTGTATCAAATTTAATGTCCGCCAAATTAGTGGACCATTTCTGGAAAATGACCAATATAATGGACCAAAAATAAAATTTTACCAATAGATACATTATGGCACAACATGTTTATTACATGGTTCATATGTTATTGTAAGATAATTCTCTAATAATAATAATAATAATAATAATAATAACTTAAGATTTTTTTATAAAGTTTATTGAAGGCTATTTACAAAATTTAATATATATATATATATATATATATATATATAACAACAATAAAAATAATAACAATGTATTGTATGAATATTACTTAAGTCATTTAACGAATATAATTCTAAGCAATGTAAAAATATATGTTATGGGTAATGGTTAAAATAACTACGAGGAAATACAAGATAAATTCAAATGCTGACGGTAACACGTGTATATTTTTTGGGAGATGCTAAGGTCCCGTTCAGTAAGGATTTATAATCGTTAGATCAATTATTCTCGACGGATTTCTAACAATTACAGACTGGACGAATTGATCCCGTAATGGGACCGTAGCATTTTTTTTTTCTTTGAGTTATTGTTTACAATAAATAATCACATTTGACGCATATATTACGCATCAATATGCTACCCGTCTCCGCTTTCAATGGTCGGTTGCTTTGATTAACTACTTGTACTTGCAAACATTAGATTAGCTTTCTCTTATTGAACTATATCTAGTTCACTAGTACATTGAGGTATAAATAAAGGTAAACAAATATACAAAAATCTTTCTTTTTTTTTGTGTGTGTGCACGGGATGATTTGTTAAAATGTAATCGTTGATCGTACGTATGTTTTGATCATAAACGATTAAGGACATCAATTTTACAGTAACGAAACCCTAACATTTTCCGAAAATATAATAATATCTATATGCAAATCAAGAACTGAATATACAAGTAGACAAATTAATGCACAGTCACACATCATTAAGATAGCAAGTATAGCAACTTCTAAGGCGGCCACTAAATGCACAAAAAAAAAAAAAAAATAAATAAATAAATAAATAAATAAAAAAAACGTTTGCATCCCCATCTCTTTCATTTAATTTTCTCCAACTTTACCGTTTGCCTAACCTTTTTTTATATAATCTCCCCTTCATTTTCTCATTGGACTTTGTCTTTTTTCTTTATTATTTATTATTATTGGCATTAATTTAGGGTTATAACTTATGATCAGACTCTTCTCATCACACTATGCACATCAAAAAATACACACTCTCTTACAAAGTGTAACATTAATTTGAGGGTTCTTTCTCTTTTTTATAGTTTCTTTTCTTTTTGTTTTTCATGGTGATGAGATCTTTGAGGAAAAGAAACAACAACAAAAACAACAACAACAACGATGATGATGTCGATAATATCCTCAAAACGAAGAGAAGTCGGAGAAGAAAACCCGAAAAATCGCCTCCACAACGTAGCTCCGTTTACCGGGGTGTTACTCGGTACGTAAATCTAGCCATTTTTTTTTTCTTTATTTTGCATATTTCTTGTGCATGGACCATGAATTTTGATTTATTATTTTACTTTTTTATTTTTAATTTCGATTCGAATTTTACTATTAGGAAAAGTAATACCATATATCTAAGGATTAATTTCCATTACTAAGAAAAATAGTATCATATTCATATATCTAAGGATGATTAATTTAATTCTCAGGCACCGGTGGACGGGTCGATACGAAGCTCATTTATGGGACAAGAATTGTTTGAGTGAGAACAAGAACAAGAAAGGAAAGCAAGGTATGATCATCATTAATCTCTTATTGATTAAACTAATTACTACTATTATTTTCACTATTTTTTTATTTTTTGGATTTTTTTTTTTAATTTTTAATCTAATATATCTTTGGATATTGAAATTATCATCAGGAATTATTAACAGTAATACCAATAATTTTATTTTGTTACTCAATGTGTCAATGGTGGTTGTGGTGTGGTGGGATCCTTCCTACTGAAAAAAGCAGTGTATCTTGGTACGTACTTTGACCACTTCACTTTTGATCAATGGCTCAAAATGGAAAATATAATTAATATCACTAATATAAAACTGGGAGATGCTACGGTCCCGTTACGGAACCATTCTGTCGGAGTTTGTAACCGTTAGATCAATTATCCTCGATGGTCAGGGGCGGAGGCAGCCTCGGAAGATCGAGGGGGCACAAACGTAATCTTTACAAAGTTGAAAAGAAATGAAATTTATTCTCTTCATGTTCTTATATATTATATTACTCATA